TCCGGGCTCACTCAGGGGCCTTAAAGGCAGGTGTGAGATTGGTTCCCACCTCACAGATGGGGAAACCGAGGCACTGAAGCTGAGGTCAAAAAGGTGAGCAGGAGTCAGCTGGGTCTGGAGGAAGGGAAAGAGAGCAGCCAACCAGAAGAAATCTGTGTGAAGGCCTTGAACCAGGGATGTAACCTTCATAAGCCTTAGTTTCTCCATCTGTAACGTGGCCAGTGTCACCTCCTGGGCTCGTTGGGACGATTTGGCAAAGTCATGCCTGGAAAGCACATAGCCCAGTGCCCAGCTCTCAGTAGGAGCTCCCTAGAGGTAGCTGCTATTCATTGGGTTTAGAGTCACAGACCACTGGAAAGGCAGATATTTGTGGCAGGTCCTCCAAGCTTGTGGGGTCCCCAGAGACCTCTAGTCCAGCGGTTCTCAACCAGAGTGGTTCTGCCCCCCAGGGGCTATTTGGCACTGTCTGGAGACACTTCCAGTTGTCATAACTTGGGGAGGGGGTGCTACTGGCATCTATTGGTGGAGGCCAGGGATGCTTCTAAATATCCTACAATGCTCAGGACAGGTCCCCAAGACAAAGAATGTTCTGGCCCAAAATGTCAAGAATGCCAGGGTGGGGAGACCCTGGTCTAGTCTGAGCCACTTGTGTTACCCGCAGGGAAACCGAGAGGTGTGTGGGGAAGGGGTCTGCCTGGGGTTTTCCCCCTAGCGTGACAGGTTAGGGCCAGGGCTGGAGCATAGGCCCACATCCCTGGGAGCTGGAGCAGGTCTCCTGGCGGCAGCTTGTCTGAAGGAGAGAGGGAGGGGCCGGCGGGAGGAGGCGTGGGCCTGTAGGGACCTGACCCAGGGCCAGGATGGGGGATGGAGTCACGTCTCTCAGCCATGCTGGGATGAATTCCCGGGCATGATCTATATTAGGAGAAAGCAGCTTGCTCGGGTGCCCACTGTAGGGCAGGGGTGTGCTGCGTGCCTGGTTTGGGGAGTCCTGACTCAGCCAGCCAGTGGCGGTGGGCTACACCTCAGGACTAGACTGTGGCAGGAAATCCTGGCTCAGAGCTGTCACGATTTGCAGGGTGATGAGGGGCACCTACTGCCAGGCAGGGGCAGCTGGGCTGTGTGGGAGAGCTCAGACCTTCCCTCTCTCTCTCTGCTCCACCAAGGCAGGTGTCTCCTCCACCTCCTGTCCTGGGGTTATAACAATGGGGTTATGTCATGTTTGGGTAGCAGCCGCTTTACCCATGGGTTGCAGGGGGGCGGTGCAGCCTGGTGTGCCAGAGGGGCAGGTGAGGCAGGGAGCCTGGGATGCAGGAGCCTGAGTCTGGGCCCTGCTTCTGTTGCTGACTTGCTGTGTGACCTTGGGCCAGTCTCTCTCCCTCTCTGGGCCCCCAGTTCCCCATCAATACACAGAGTGGTGGAAGCACATCAGTGGTTTTTAAACCATCCCCATGGAGCTCTTAGGGTCTGGCCAGGGTCTCTGGAGGTTCCTGCTCCATGGCCTCAGGAAGGAGAAGCCAGACACCTCGGCTCTGGCTCTCTCTGCCCCTGCCTGGCAGCGTGTGTGCCCATTCATTCACCTCCTCATGTGACGCGCACACCAGGCCCTGTACAGTGCATCGGAACACAGCGGTGTGGGGAACTTGTGTTCCAGCGGGGGACACGGCCTGGAGCAAATATGATGCAGCGTGGTCTGTGCTATGCTGGGGATCCACAAGGGACACGGGAGCAGAGACCCGTGGCCCTGTGGCCTCAGACCGGGGATCTGGGTGGACTTCCTGGAGGAAGCCACATCTAAGCTGGGACCTGGCCTGTGAGTGGATGGGCCAGCATCCATTGGCTCATCCAGAAAAAAATGATGAAAGAAAGAATTCTGATGCTAGTTAAAGTGGTAAGGGAGTCTTTATCCAGGACTGTAGCAGTCAGTGTCAGACTGTCACAACAGGAGATCAGGCTCATCTCTAACTACAACACGGACTAATGGGGATTTACAGCCAATGAGCAGAGTGAGGGGGTCAGGGACGGAAATTACTAAGAGGCCATCAGGGGCAGGGCATTCTTGCTAAACCCACTTAGGCTGCTTGCTGGAGGCAGGACAGGACTTATACATCAAACGGGGTGGGGATGAGGAACTTGACCAGATATCAAGGATGGGGGGATTCTGGCTAAACTGACTTAGCAGGATTCTTGCTGCAACTGGGCTAGGCAGGCTGAGACGGGTGTGGGGGCAGGTCTAGGCCTAGCTGAGAAGAGGGCCCGGAGAAGCCTGACTGAGGTTTAGGTGTGGAGTATGGAGGGTTGGCAAGAGGAAGCATTAGCTGGGCACCCCTCATGGGCATGGCCGTGGGGAGGGGGGCTTCCTGAGGCCCCTGCTACTGGCACCAAAGGCAGCTGGGACCCCACAGTGACAGCCTCTGCAGGGGTAACCAGACAGGCCCCCGAAGTCTCCCCACTGAGGCCACCTCCCCACGGCCCCTCCCAGCAGGCTCCGACTGCCAGCCCCTGCAGCTGCTCACCGCGCCGACGGCTCTTGCTGGTGCTGTGTACCGCCTTCCCCCCTCCCGAGATCCAGCCCCCTGTGAGCCATCTGCAGAGACGGGCCAGGGGATGCCTTTGGGTGCCTTTTGTTTTATCCTTACTGTTTTTAATAACCTTTTAGAACCACTAAGTAACACACACCCATTGTGGGGAAGTTAAAAGGTCTGCAGGAGTGCAAAGAAGTGACCACCTGGCATCCCTGTGTTCAGAGAGGTCTGGTGACAGCTGGATGCCCCTCGTGGGCCATTAAGTCCTGCTCCAGGCATGTCCCCTCCTCCTGCCCAAGGACCCATTCTGGTCTGGGGTCCTGGGGTCACAGACCAGGTCTTGTCCCTGAAACTCTCTTTCTGCATCCTGGCCTGGGAAGGAGGCCAGGAGAAGGCAGCTTTACGGGCAGGGCGTTGGAGGGGGCTGTGTCCCTTCCTCTGCTGTGGGCAGGGGCTCAAAGCTGCACCACTTGGTGTCAGTGTCCTGACTGTCCTGCTTTGCTTCCTTCTGGCTTGGCCAGTCCAAGGGTCCTTGCAGGGCAGGATGCAGGGGTTCTGGGCGGGCCTGGAGACATCACATGCCAGGGAGAGACTGATGATGGGGTCACAGGCTGACCAGCAGGGTGGAGGATGGGCGAGGTGGGGCAGGCTGGTGGTTAGAGCCTGGCCTCTCTGTGCCTCAATGCCTTCATCTGCGAATGAAATCACTGAACCTCTTCCAAGGGCTGGGGTGACGATTGAACGAGGAAGTGTCTGCAGAGGCTCAGCACAGTGCCCAGCCTCGGCTGCTGTTGTGACGCTGTGGCTAAAGGCCCGTGCTTGCTAAGTTGGGACCTGCCTCCCTGCGTCTCTGCCCCTCAAGGTGTCCTTCAGGGAGGGCAGGGAGAGTGTGGAGGCTTAGCCTATCCATGGCCTCACACTGGCTGCGGGTACTGTTGGGGCACCACGTGTCTACTCTGTCCCAACTCCAGGAGGAAGCTTCCCTCCCACCTCCCACTCCATCTCCTCTGGTCCCTCCAGCCTCATCCTCACCCCAACAAGCCCATCCCATAAGGAACGGCTGCACTGCCAGCAAGAGTCTTGCCTGGTTTACTCTTGACATCTGACCCCAATCGTTTGGGCTGTAGAATTCTGAGGTTCCCGCCACGGTGCCCGGCACGCATGCACTTAACAACCACTTGAGGGTGCCTGGCGCCCATCCTGGCCCCTTCTTAGATTGCTCTCATGGGTAGGGGGATGGTGGCTTCTCCACATGCTCCCTCTATCTGGGGACTCCAATCACAGTACCACAAGCAGCTTCAAGCACGACACTCTCAGAGTCCCCTCCTTCGATGTGCAAGGGGAGAGTGGCATCTTCATCTGGTCGCCATGAGAATAGAGAGCGCTGGGACATGCGGGAGCTGCAGGGATCCGGTTTCTCCGAGCATCGGGCCTCTTCAGCATTCACTGTCTATCCCATCTCAGCTCCAGACTGGGCTGTGAGGATTTGCAGATGACTTCCCCTCTCTGAGCCTCAGTTTCCTCATCTTTGGAGTGGCTTCAGCATAGCACCTTGCTCATTGGGCTATTGTGGCATTCGAGGAGAATGGGGTTTGCAAGGTTCCCAGCGGAGGTAGTAGCTGGTGCAATGAGAGCTGGTGCCCCTCTCTGGCTCCCCACTGTGATAGGACTTGTTCTCAGGGGAGCGGATGTCCCACTTGGGGGAGGGGGCAGCTAAGCTACACACAGGGGACAGTTCGTGAATTGGTTTAAAACAATGCATATTTAAGTTCACAATGCTGAAGATCATACTATTGATTATTTTTTATGTCCAGCCCTGCAGTTACTTGCACCTTTGAGGAAATTGAATCCCAGAGAGGTGAGGGCATTTGCCTGAGGTTGCACAGCTAGTGAACAGCAGAGATTTGGATGGGGGTTTGGACCACAAAGCTACGCAACAATCAGCTACCCTGTTATCTGGAGGGTCCTATGCTGGGCACTGTGACTACAGGGTGGACAAGTCCAGTTGGAGCAGACCAGGGTCCCCTCTGAGCTCCCTGTGCTGGTCCAGTGTCTGTTTTCCCAGTGCCGTGGGAACAGAGGCTGGGGGAGGGGTGCGTGTGCATATGGGGGGGGGGTGCAGGCATGTGGGAGGAGCCAGCTGCTGGATCCATATGGTAGCTCTGCCCACCAGCACCACCAGCCAGCCCAGCTCTGGTGCCTGGTGCCGGGAGGGGCTCAATGGAGAAGGTGGGAGGCGCTCGTGCAGGAGCGCATCTTCGGAGAGGTTATTCGTATGACTCTTGTTTCAGCCTCCCTGTGTGGAGCACGGGTCTGTGTGGCCAAGTGCTCTGTGTGCAGCATCAGGTCAGCTTTTATACCTGCTGTGCACACGAGGCTCAGAGAGGTGAAGTCACTTGTCCAAGCTCACTCAGCTAGTGAGAGGCAGGATGGGATTGAGCCCATGCCTAGAAAGTCCAGTCTGCCCATGACCCCATGTGGCACCATCTCTTTCAACAGGGATGCACGGCTCCCCTGGGGCCTGGGCAGGAGCTCCTGGTGGTTGGGTGGTGTTGGCATCTCTTTTACTCTCTCTTGTCTGGTCTTCTACTTCCAGGTACAAAGGCTTCATCAAGGACTGCCCTAGCGGGCAGTTGGATGCAGCAGGCTTCCAGAAGATCTACAAGCAGTTCTTCCCATTTGGAGACCCCACCAAGTTTGCCACATTTGTTTTCAACGTCTTTGACGAAAACAAGGTGAGCTGGGGATTGATGGGACCTGTGCCAGCCTGGAGTCTCTTCCCTCCTGCGGCAGCTGCTCAGCTCCTCCGGGCACCTGCAGCGTCTGCACACCCACTCTTTCCTGCTGCCATTCCCTTTTGGAGAAGGAACACACGTACGTGTCCACACTCACATGCACACATACACAGATGCACACAAGTGCATACACATGCACACATGCACAGACACACACCACCACACACAAATGCAGATGCACACAAATGCATGCACACCCTGCACAACCAAACATATTCGGTCACATGCACATACACATGCACACACATGCATGCACACAGATCATGCACACATACACACATGTACTGTGCACGCATGCATGCACACATACAGATGCACACATGCATGAACACACATGCATGCTCACACAATGCACACAGAGACACATGACCACACATGCACACCTATACACCCTGATGCACATGCATACCCTGATTTTTCTCCTGTAAGCACAAAAGGCAAATGCCTCCAGGGATAATAATAGTATTAATAATCATAACTGACATTTACTAAATGCTATATGATAAGCCCTTCACACAGATTATTTTTCGTGAGGCCTTACAACCACTTGTGGGATAGGTACTTCTAATACCCCAATTTGCAGATGAGGAAACTGAGGCTCTGGGGATTACATGGTATGGGATCATTTGTGCCCGGCTTCTTTCACTGAGCATTATGTTTTCAAGACTTATCTGAGCTGCAGCATGTGTCCCCTCCTGGCGATGGCCACACTGACCGTTGGTGTACCCACTGTTGGGGTGTCACAGCCTTCCAGACTTTGCCCCACATTGGCATTTCCCAGCTGCACAGCACTCCCTGCTGTTAGGTGCTCAAGTGGCTCCATTTTGTCATGCCCCAACTTTCTCCCCAGGTGCCCCCAGGCTGGGAGTCGCACTCCCTGGGCCTGGGAAGGGCTCTACTCTCTCAGGGCCTCACTTTCCTCCTTTGCAAAACAAACAGGTAGGATTAAACAATCTGCAGAGCCTTCTCCTCTTTAAAAGCCCCTGAGCCTGTGGTTTTAGGCTGAGGGGCTTCCGGGCTGCTCTTGCCGAGAGAGGGTGTGTGTGTTGGTGCTTCTGGTTCTTTCTCCCGTTAGAAGTGGAGTCAGCCTCTCCTTGCAGCTTCGCCCCTTTTTCCTGTCCCTCCTGCCCAACCTGTCCCATTTCTAACCCTATCCCACCCCCTTCCCCAGCCTCTGTCTCCCTTTCCTCCCCTCCCCCTTCCCTCTTCCTCTCTGGTCTGCTCATTTTGGTCGGCTCCTGCCCTCTCCACTTGGGTGTCCAGTGGCCATGGGTGTCGGTGCCTGCTGCTGCCTGTCATCACCCTCCAAGGTCTGGCCTGACCAGGTGCCTGGAGCTGACCGAGGCCACCCCTGTTTCTCCCATCAGGACGGACGGATCGAATTCTCCGAGTTCATCCAGGCGCTGTCGGTGACCTCGCGGGGAACCCTGGATGAGAAGCTGCGGTGTGAGTCCTGCCCCCAGCCCTGTCGGGCAGCAGCTGGGTGGTCCCAGGTCAGAGGGAGGCAGCCTCAGCCCTCGCCAGGCAGGGGTGCCAGATACCCATGGCAATAACCGCTGGTGGCATCCCTGCTCCATAGAGGTAGGGCAGCGGACCCCAGGCAGGTGGGCCTCATATGGCTGAATAACTGGGCAGGCCATCTGTCCAGGGCTACGAGACTGGCGCACACACCCTGCCCTTCTGGGTCACAGGAGGCTTCCTGGAAGCCTTGTGCAAGTTGTGCAAGAGGAATGAGGTGTCTTTAGGCAGGGGGGATGGGGAGGGCTGGGGGGCAGGTGGCTGGCAGGTGCCTCGGTGGCATTTCAGCAGGTATAGGCCTGGGCAGTGGGTGCTGCAGGGTGGACTCAAAGGACCTGGTTCCAGTGCTGGACCCACCTTTCAGTGGCCACTCATTCACTGACTCACTCATTCATTCAACCAATCCTGGCTGACACTGTCACATGGTGATACCAAGCGGGAGGCTGGGAATCCACTGGGGGCTCTCAGGGCTGTCAGTCTAGAACGGCGGTGGCACAATTGGAAAAATCCTGTAACACTGCAGCCGAGGAAGAGAGAGGGAGGTGGGGGCCGGCAGGAGAGGAACTCTTGTTAGAGTCGGGAGCTGGGCTGCTGGGGGACAGCCAGTGGCAGACGGAGGGAAGGGGTCCCAGGCAGGGGAGGCCGGGAGGGCGCTGCAGAGCAGGGGTGCGCAGGCCCCGGGCGGCTCAGCTGCAACGCAGGGCGCTGGAAAAGCAATCTGAGGGGAAGAATGTGAAAAACTCACTGCTTGCTAAGACTTTTACGCTTTATTCCATCAGCAGTGAGAAAACCCTGCAGTTTCTTTTTCTGCTTTTAGGAATAAAAGATAATTATATTTATGCAAAAGTTCTCCCTCCTGATGTATTATTTTGTTTTCTAATGTTGGCCATAGCAGGGTACATCATAATTGTGGGAGGGAGTGGACTGAGGGGGCTGCGGCCAGAGCAGAGGGAGGTGGGGGGCTCCTCATCTGGGTACCGTGCTCCCCCCACTCACTCAACTCCAGCCACTGAGGCCTCAGCCCTGGCAGACCCAGTGCCCCCCACCCTCTATTTTTATTTATTTATTTTTTAGCCCTAGTTGCAATGGTGTGTGTGTGACCGTCCCCCTCTATCCTGATGTAAATATCGGTTAACCTGATGAGTAATGGGGCCGCTCGATCCCTGACTTTGTGTTGAGGTGCAGAGGGGAGGGGGAGTTGGAGAGCCCCCCTTCCCTGGGCAGGGGTGACTCAGCCCTGGCTGGTTGATCACAGGGGCCTTCAAGCTCTATGACTTGGACAACGACGGCTACATCACCAGGAACGAAATGCTGGATATCGTGGATGCCATCTACCAGATGGTGGTGAGAGGCTGGTCCTGTGGGGTGGGGGTGGCCGGAGGGGCGTTGAAGTTAAAGGCTGGGCCTGGCCACTCTCCTGCCTAGGGTCCCTCTGTGCATCTGTACCTGGGGAGGCTGGCAGCGGCTGGGCAGATGGTGGGGCTGGGGTGGGCGAGATGTTCCAGGGCAGAACGGCAGAGAAGGGGAGTGGGCGGGAGAGGCGGGCCTCATCTGGAACCAGCCTAGGTCTGGGGGGCACATGTCTGGCCTCGAGCCCAGAGCCCAGAGCACCAGGACCCAGCCCCGCCTGTCTGTCCCTGGCAGGGGAACACTGTGGAGCTCCCCGAGGAGGAGAACACCCCCGAGAAGAGGGTGGATCGGATCTTTGCCATGATGGACAAGGTGAGGCTGGGCCTTGACCAGGGAGAGAAGATGGGGGGCAGGCCTGGACCCCGGTGGGCAGGAGCTGGAGACACCTGAGCCTGGCTTTGCCCTGACCGCCTAGGAGACTGGCTGCGGGGCAGGTAGTACGGCCCGGGGCCATGTCCGCCGTGGGCAGCCATTCCCACCAAACGTCCAGAGTTCTAAGGAAGTTTGCCCCACATGTTTTCTTCAATCAGTGAAGGTCTTTTACCTTTTTTATTTTTTTCTGCCATAGCCCCTTTAGCATTCTGGAGAAGCTGAGGGACTTCTCAGAATAATGGCTTTAAGTGCATGAAATAAAATCCACAGGATCAAAAAGGAAGCCGGTTATTTGGAATACAGCTATCAAAGTATTTTTTAAGAAAGAATCCGTGATATAGTATTATACGAGCTTCTTTATTAACACATTAAATGATAAGATGCAGTGGTGGGTCTAAGGACCCCGTAATTTCAAACCTGCCCTATCTGCAGCAACCGTGATGTGCTATGAAAATACCTGTGATCCCCGTTGTTGACAAAGTCACAGGCACTGCTGGTTCTGTTGGGGGTCATTACCTAGATTCATCATTGAAGGAGACGCTACTGTTCAGTTAGAGGTTAGTGAAAAGAAAGACTGAATTTTTCCCCATGTGAGTGCACAGACCTGCTAAATTCTGTCTAGAGACCCCAGGTTAAGAAACCCTTCTTTAAGTCAAACCTTTTTTTTTTTGTTTTAAACTAAGATAACTTTATTTTAAATGGAAATTTGAAATCATGATGGTAAGGAAACCCAGTCTAGCTTGACTTCAATAAAAATATACGAATTACTGTGACGTAGGGCTTCTTAGGACATTCTGGCTGGATACATTTGCTTGTCCTAAAAACCTTGAGCCTAAGGCTTGTATTTTCTTAATTAAAAAAGCTAGATTAGCACATTTTATAGGGGTGTTAAAGACGCACTAGCGTCAGACTGAGCTGGTCTTTTGGTAATAATCAAAAGGTTTATCCACGGAGTGTGGAGTGAGAAATAATAACTTTCTCATGGTGTGATTTGATGTTATTTAATGCCAAGACCATGCATTCCTTAAATTTCCCCATTCATACCTCCCTTATTTTGGGAAACAGTGCACACCCTGGAGTCCAACTGACTGGGGTGTAAATCTGACTTGCCCGATTACCAGCCGTGGGACCCTGGATAGGTGACTGAGCCTCAGTTTCCTCACTGGTAAATGGGGACAGGAGCAGCACCCTCTTCTCAGGGTGGCTGCGAGGGTTCCATGAGATCAAGCTGGGCTGTGCTTAGCACGTGCCAGATGCACGGCGAGCCACCCACGAGAACGGCCATGCTGTGCCTGTCAGAACCTTTGTCCCCACCTGTCCTTTCTGGGTGCACAGGGTGGACAAGGTGGTCTCCGAGGCCTTTTTCTTGGGTTCTCACAGGTTTCCTAGAGAGATGCTTCAGGGGGAGGGATTCTGGCCCAAACCATACCCTCCCCAAGTGACCCCCCCACAGCCCTCTATGCCTTTGTGGAGCTCTGCCTGGCCCCCTCCTGGAGTCCAGTGTGGGCTGTTTCAGAGAAGGTTTAAATCCCCTCCCAAGAGTGACCCCAGAGAAATGCATGGGGTGCTTAGCCCTTTTGGATTAAGCACCATTATAGGAATTCATAGTGGTGATTATGATGCGTATGGAGCTACGGGCCACTTCCAGTTTGCCGAGTGCCCTGAGGAAGCCAGCAATTACCCCCAGTCCCCAGACGAGGAAACTGAGGCCCAGAGAGGTAGGCCATGGGCTCGAGGTCACCCAGCTGGTGAGTGCCTGGGTCTGCGTTGTGCTGGCCCCGCTCACCTGCTGAGCCACATAGCCTCCCTCCTGATCAGAGGCCCCCATCTTGGGAGGCTGCTGGTGGGTCCCTCCACCTGTGGCTCTTCTCTTTGCTTGCAGAATGCCGACGGGAAGCTGACGCTGCAGGAGTTTCAGGAAGGGTCCAAGGCGGATCCCTCCATCGTGCAGGCACTGTCCCTCTATGATGGGCTGGTATAGTCCAGGGCCCAGAGCTGGGTGAGTGTTGGGGACTCGGGGCCTGGGTGGGGGCCGGGGTGAGGACTCAGCCCCAGGACACCTGGGATCGGCAGGTAAGTACCCAGGTTTCCAGGCTGGGACGGGAGGCCTAGGAAGCAGGGCCAGAGCCCCTCTGCTTTCATCCTTGTGAGTTTGCTTGAATACAACTTTCCGTGGGCTGAAGACATGTTGGAAATCACAGTTCTCAGCCAGGGCCAGGGGTCTGGGGAGCAGGAATTCTTCGTCCCCTCTCTGACCTAAGCTCCCAGCTGTCTTGATCAACAGCTCCGATGTGGGTTCTCTTTTTCTCCAGTTGGGTCTGTGGTCAGTGTGGGGTGATAGCGTGTCCCAGCAGAGGCCTCAGGGGTGGTGGGGAACTGTCTTCCTTTCTCTTTCTCATCCTCCCTCGCCTCTTCTTCTGCCTCTTCTCTGCTGTGACCTCCTTGTTGACTTGGTGGGGGGAGTGAAGGGCCCCCAGGGTCCTGTCCAACTATAACATTCTCGTGCGTGTCTTTTGGTGAACAGATGTGCACATTCCGTGGGCAGATATCTAAGAGCACAATTGCTAGGACATGGGACGTGTGTACATTTTGCTTTAGTAGGTGCCGCCAAACAGTTTTCCAAAGTGGTTGTGCCATTGAATACTCCCACTAGCAGTGTGTGAGAATTCTCCTTGCTCCACGTCCTGGCCGGCATTGCATATTTACTGTCTTTTTAACTTTAGCCTTTTTAGTTGGAGTGTGGTGATAGCTTGTTGTAATTTTAATTTGCGGTTCTCTGATGAGCAGTGAAGTTGAGCACATAATATGTGTATCATCCGTCTTAATATCCTCTTCTGCAAAGTGCTGTATTATCCTTTGCTACCTACTATGTTACCACAAAACAGCAGCTTAAAAGAACAGGCAGCAGAAATTTGGGCACAGCTAAGCTGGGGGTTTCTGGCTCAACATCTCATGACTATGCAGTCCAGCTGTCAGTAGGGTGACCAACCATCCCAGGTCTATCCCGGAGTTAGCAGTGAAAGTCCCATGTCCTAGGAAACCCTTCAGTCCCAGGCAAACTGGGATAGTGATCAGCTGTTGGCCAGGGCTGTGGTCTCATCTGAAGGCTTGGCTGGAGGTGAACAGCTAGCCAGTGCCCTTGTGGTTTAGCAGCCTCGATCATGCACCCTGTGGACATCTGCACGGGGCTGCCTCACAAGGCTGCTGGCTTTGCTCAGGGTGACCTTTCCAAGAGGGTGGGAGAAAGAGCCCAAGACGAAAGCCACAGTCTTTTTATAACCTATTCTTGAAAGTGATATCCCATCATTTTTTAAGAATACCTCAACTACTTTTGGCTATTTGCATTTTTGTATGAATTTTAGAATCCACTTGCCTACACACATGAACTGAGATTTTGATTGAATCTACAGATCAATGTGGGGAAAATTGGCATCTTTATAATTTTGAGTCTTCCAATCCACGAAAATAGTATATCCCTCTATTTACTTAGGTTTTTAAAATTTTTTCTCTATAATATTTTAGTGTTTTCAGCTAAAAGGTCTTTCACATCTTTTGGTGATTTATTCCTAGATATTTGATGTTTTCGATGGCATTAAAATAGTAATTTCTAAATTGTTTTTTCTGTTTGTTTCTGGTTTATAGAAATTTGGTTTCTGGTTTTTGACCGTATATCCAAGACCCTGCTAAATCCAGTTATTAATTCTGAGAGTTTGCTTTAGATTCTTTTGGATTGTCCACATTTTATTTCTTCCTCGCCTACCCTTCTGCCTTTTGTTTCTTTTTCCTGCCTCAGTGTCCTGGATGGGCCTGCCAGTGCACTGCTGGATAGGACTAGTGATGGGCCCACCTCGTTTCCCTCTTGATCTGGGGAGAAGAATTTACCATTAGCTATGATGTTTGCTTCTGTTTTTTTGTAGATAGACTTTTGTAGACAGAGAGATTTAGGAAGTTTCTTTCTTTTATAGTTTGCTGAGTTACTTGTCTATCAAGTGCTTTTTCTGCATTTATCAGGATGCTTATATAACCTTTTCTCCTTTCTTATAGTTAATATGATTACACAGATTGATTTTTTTCCTTTTGATTGTTTTATTATTCAAAGAAGCTTCGTTATTTAATTTAACTTTTTGACTCTGTGCTCATGCCTTTGATATTTTCGTAATGATTTTCTGCTCCTCAGTAAGGAAAGCATGGTTAATGCTGTCACGGACATATTTAGCACACGCAGAACCACCGTAGGCCCTGCTGGCGTGTTTTTTCATTTTGTACAACCTCAGAAGAACTTCAGGTCTCACAGCATGAACCCCTTGAAGTCTGCTGGATGCATGCCACATGCAGAATTTGGTGCTTTCCCAAGCTTCTTGGTAAAAAAAAAGATAATTCTGTCACCGGGGTTCAGGACAGCCTAGTTTTGTTAGAGGCTATTTAGTAGGAACGCCTATGATCGTATTTCAGATGCTGGACCATTCTGAGTACCTCTAGATGCTGGCCCCGGAAGCAGCAAGGACAATTGTTTTTTGGCAGCTGGCCAGTTCAGGAATTCAAACCCTTGAACTTGGTGTTATAATACTGTGCTCTAACCAACTGGGCTAACTGGCCAGCCCTGACAGATTGATTTTTGAATGTTAAGCCACCTCGCATTCTTAGAATAAACTCACCTTAGCTGTGGTGTGTCACCCTTTTTACGTATCATCGGATTTGCTTTGCTGATTTTTTGTTTCAGAGGGCTACGTCATTTTGAAGCTTCTATTATGACTATTATTTTATGCAAGAAATCCTTTTTCATCAAAGAGACATTAGAAAATATGTTTAAAAAGAAAAGCTCCATTAAAAAGTTTATTTAAAAATACCCTCACATACAAGCCAGATAGCACAGTGAACATTTTAGTGTCCACAATGATTTAAAGCAAATTGAACACTTACAAAACTTAATACAGTACTCGGTAACTAGGTCACATAGGGATATATAATTAAAACCTATGTGTCAAGGGACTGTCACCCTTATTTCTATCTTAGAAATCCTTGATATACAAAAATTTAAAAGAAATGCTCAATATGCAGCTCTGGGTCCCACCGTGAACACTGATCTGTTGTCTAATTTTTCAGTCTCCTTTTGCAAATCACCATGTCGTATTATTTCCAGGACGAGCTTTTCAGAGTAACAAGGGCCCGCACTTGACATAATCCACCTTTCCATGGCTCTTACCTTCCTCCTTCTCTGAGGCTTTTCCTGGAGCCTACTCCACAGTAATTACATCCAAGTCGTGTTCTATCATTTGTGTGATTTATGTGCCTCTTCAGATTCCTGATGTATCATAGTCCTTAAATAAATTACCGTAATGTAATTCATTGACCTCTTCAGGAGCTGAGATTTTGCTTATTTTCTACATCATTAAATGCTATTTGAGACCATCATTTTTAATAGCTGCATAGTATTTCACGATATGGCTGGGCCATAATTGAACCGGTCCTTTGGTGTTGGACACCTAAGTTGTTGGAAATTTTGGGAAGGGATTTAAAAATATTTCTTATGGGGCCGGCCCGGTGGCACACTTGGTAGAGTGCGGCGCTTGGGAGTGCGGCGGCGCTTCCGCTGAGGGTTCGGATCCCATATAGAGACCGGTCCACTCACTGGTTGAGCGCGGTGCGGGCGTGACACCGAGGGTTGCGATCCCATTGCCGGTCACGAAAAAAGACAAAAAAAAGGAAAAAAAAAATTTCTTATGGAAACATTCACACACGAGTGTAGAGAGAGTAGTGTGATTCTACGTACGCATCAGCCGGCTTCCGCTCACAAGTCCACCAGCCCATCTTGTACCATCTATATGCACCCTGTCCCTGCCACCCCCACATTGGGTTATTTTGAAGCAAATTCAAAACATTGTTAAAACATAAATATCTCAAAATGCATTTCTAGAAGATAAAGATTCTTTTTTTAAAAATCCTTAAAACTGAAAAAATCAATAATTCCTTAATACTTTCCAATCTCCACTTGCACTTCCAGTTTTCTGTTATCTCACCATTTTTTCCACTTTGTTTACTGAAATTGGAATCTGAATAAAGTTTGCCTGCTGCATTAGCTGATAGGTTTCTTACATTTATTTAAGTCTGTCAGATTTCCCCTTTCCTTTTTTTCCTTGCTACTTGTTGGTGCACGCACTGTTGATAAACACACTCTGCAGAGTTTTCCCGCCGTCGGGGAGTTTGCACCGTCGGGCAGTTTCCCTCTTCCTGAGGTGTTTTTAACATGCCCCTCTGTTCCTAGCTCTTCCTGAAAATGGGCAGGTGGGTCTACAGGCTTGTTTGGGATTTGGTTCCATCTGTTTCTGGAGAGAACAGCTCACAAGCAGCGTTGTGCGGCCTCCGGAGCTGTTAGCAGCCTTTGCTGATGTTGTGTAGATTCATTGATTCATCAGACATGCAAAATGGTGATGTTCCGATGCTACCTTTCTTCTTTCATTTGTTAGCTGGGTTAATTGGACAAAGGAAACTTCCCCTCATTAACTCTTCAGTGACCCCGAGGTCTGGTTTTTAATAGGAAGGGCAGGATAGATGCTTGACTCTTTCTCTTTCTTTATCTGTTTTCAAAATGAGTTGGTTTTCTAACAACCTCTAGGGGTGACCAATAAAGTTAAAAATAGTCATTATGAATTGGTGCATTTAAATGCATTTGATGAGCTTCGTGTTTGCAGTTTTTAACCAGCAGATACAATCCTGTGTTGAACATTCTTTCGCATGAGCTTTCAGTCATGTCGGTCAATGCTCTTGAAAGTACGGGGGACAGAGACCCTCCCCCCCACCTTAAGCTGTCACAAGTAGAGCAGGGCAGACCACAAAGGTTCACTGCCACAGGTGAAGAACATGACGGCATGCAGCCGGCCTCCCAGGGCAGGCATGGGGAACTACAAGGGTGGCGGGTCACTTTCTGAGAGGACACGCTTTCTCCCCTGGGGCGCGCTGGCCTCCCTCTGGGCAGCTGCTCTGTTCTCTCTCTCCCATGAGCTTCTCTGCTCCCCCCTTTGTCTCTGGACTGCAATGGCCACACCAAGCCTCGTCCTACGGGGCCTCCCCGCTTCCTCCAGGGCTGCCACCCCAATACCTCCTAACAATTTCCTTAGTTCTAATTTCTAAGAGAGGAACCTGATTGGCCCAGATAATGTTTCAAATCACCTCACACCCATCAGGAAAACACTCCCCCTTGGGTCAGATGCTGCCCTTGTCCAGTGAGGGGAGCAGCGACGTGGATGGAAACGTGGCCGGTAACGTGGCCGTGGAGCGGGTTATGGGGAAGTTCTGTGTGTGGCACCGACAGCAACAGACATGACGATGCCCACGTGCTCTTTATTCTTTTAAATTTATTGACGTAAAACTCACATAACAGAAAATTAACCATTTTAAAGGGAACAGTTCAGTGGCATTTACTGCATTCACAGTGTTGTGCAATTACCGTCTCTATCTAGTTCCAGAACATTTGCATCACCCCCAAATAAAACTCCATATTCATTAAGCAGCTTCTACCCCTGCCCCCCACCCACATCCCCCAACCACACCCCCAGTCTCTGGCAACCTCCATCTGCTTTCTGTCTCTGGATTGACCTATTTTGCACATTTCATACAAACGGGGTCATATCACATGTGACGCTGTATGTCTGGCTTCTTTCCCCTTGTACGGTGTTGGTGAAGTTCATCTCCTTTGGCATGTGTCCGTGTTTCATTCCTTGTCATGGCTGGAAACATTGCCTTGCATGGGCCGATGGACGCGTGGGCTGTTTCTGTCCTTTGGCCCTTCCCTAGAGTGCTGCTGTGAGCAGCGTGGACGTGCATTTCTCGAGTACCCCTTTTCAAGTCTTTTGAGTCCGTGCCTAGGAGTGCAATTGCTGGTCATATCACAGCTCCATGTTTAACTTTTTGAGGAACCACTAAACCGTTTTCTATGGTGGCTGTGCCGTTTTACATTCCCCCCGGCTGTGCACAAGCATTCCCGTGTCTCTGCACTCTTGTCAACACCTATTTTCCTTTTTTATTTTTTGATGATAGCCATGCTAACGGCTGTGATGTACTATCCCATTGTGCTTTTGATCTGCATGTCCCTAATAACTGATGGTGTTGAGCATCTTTTCATGAGCTTATTTGCCATTCCATGCACTGTTTTTATTTATTTATTTTATTTATTTATTTATTTTTTCCTTTTTGTCTTTTTTTGTGACTGGCAACGGATCGCAACCCTCAGTGTCGCGCCCGTACTGGACCGGGACTGGCAATGGGATCGCAACCCTCGGTGTTGCGCCCGCACCTCGCTCAGCCAGTGAGCGGCCGGTCTGTATGTGGGATCCGAACCCTTGATGGGAGCGCCGCCGCGCTCCCAAGCGGCGCACTGTAGCAGTGCGCCACTGGGCCGGCCCCATGCGCTGTTTTTAATGGTTGTAAACTACTTTATCCCATGGCTGTGTCCTAATTTATTCAACCAGTCCCCTGATATTGGACACTTAGGTTGGTCTCCCATCTCGTTTTTGTTTTGTTTTGCTTTCCTATTACAGCTGAAACGGTGGTGAACATCTTTTTTCTTTCTTTTTTTTTTTTTTTTTTTTTTTTTTTTTTTTTTTTCGGCAACGGATCGCAACCCTCAGTGTTGCGCCCGCACCTCGCTCAGCCAGTGAGCGGCCGGTCTGTATGTGGGATCCGAACCCTCGGCGGGAGCACCACCGCACTTCCCAAGCGGCGCACTATAGCAGTGCGCCACCGGGCCGGCCCTCTTTTTTATTTCTTAAGGATAGATACGAAGCATCCCATGGGTGGATCAGGTTGTGCATGGTTTTTGGACTTGCGACGTGGACTGCCACCCTGCCCTCTAGTTCACCTTCCCGTCAATTCTGCACGCCTGTTCCTGGCAGCCCGCTCTTAACCTGCCCACCTCCTTGTGTCTTCCAGATGCCTGGGAACCATCGCCTCCTCCCGTGCCATGAGGCCACCTCAGCCCTGACACCACCCCGTGTGTCCCCCCAGCGTCCCTCCGCAGCCACACACAGCCGGGCCCTTGGACCGCAAGGCCCCGGCTCTCCCCACCCTGCCCTGCACCCACCCACCGCCTGAAGCCACTGACTCCAATCGCCAGCCACCTCTGCTTGTCCAGAAAATGATAAACAAAACGGAAAAGGCTACAGCCCTCTGCAAACCAAGGACACGGCTGCTTGGCGGGCAGCCTCTCGGTTCCTCCTGCTCTCTTGCGTGCGTGCTTTTGTTTTTTATTTCCAACAGACATTTTAAAAGAAAAAATAACAAACTACCTTCTGTCCTAGAAGATACAGACTGACCGATGGGGAGAAGGCCTGGGGACCTCAGAGAACTCTGCCTCCGCCTGGGCCCTTGGCAGCCGGGGAGCCCGTGGGGAGCCCAGGGGTGTCTGGGGGGCCTGCCTGATGGGCGTTATCTGTCATCCCATCCTCAGCAGCAAAGCCACCCATGTGGCAAGGATAATCGATGGTGATGATGGTGATTTTTTGTGATAACAGTATTGTGCTTTTCGTGGGGAAAGTGAGGTTTTTTTTTTACATACATATACAATGGATCTCTTTTATTTATTGGTTGTTAACTGTTGCTGCTGCCTCGTGTGTCCGAGCTCCCAGGGCTGCGGGGCCTACGTTTACATGTGCAGCCTCACCCACCTGCCCACACTCGCCTGGGAGGAGGGTGGCCTGCAGCGGCCAAGAAGCCAAAAACAAAAAAAATTTTTTTTCAATACTGTGCTTGATATTTGGGGAGGGGAAAGGCGGGAATTCCTAAATGGCTACTGCGCTGTTCTCTCCAGCCCAATGCCTCCTTCCAATTCCCTTCTTCCTGCTGCCTCCCCACCTGCCCCCAGCCTCTGTCCTCCTCTGGGTCCACAACATTTTTTCTGAGGACAAACAGGGGACGTCTTTCATTTTCTCAGCTCTTGCTTTGGTGTTTGCAGCAGCATGGAAAATGGGGAGCCTTTTCCTAAGACCAGGAAGCAGGAAAGGTGGGATTGGGTGCAGAGGCAGGAGTAAGAGGGGGGCTTGCAAGTTAGCAGCAGGGAGGGACACCTGCACCTCCGTGGGGGCAGGGCGGAGCTGAGAGCAGCACCTGAGCTCTTCCCTCTGCTTTTCCGCCTTCCTATCTGCCTGTCCCTGTCTTAGCTCAGATGCGGGGAGGGAGGGGAGGAGAGAAGGGATCCAGGCAGTCCTGTTGAGGTGGCCCTTGCTCCTCAGAGCTGTGGCCCACACTCCTCACAGGAGACTTCTAGCTCTGCCTGCTACTGAGACCAGGGACAGCCCCAGAACTGTAACCAGGATCATCAGGTGACCCTAGACTGTTGGTCAGGAGCCCGAGGTCTGGCCCTTGCTCCATAATGGCAGGCAACCTCCTGCCCTCTCTGGGTCTCACTTGCCCCATCTGTGGAGCCAGGAGGCGCTGGCTGGTCGATCTTGAAGGCCCTTTTCTGTGCTGACATTGTATGAGCCTGGAATTCCATTTTCTACCATTTGTGATTCTGTTTGCCAGACCCTAGCAGACATGGGGACTGTCTGAGTCATAGCACAGCCCCTACTTTGTCTCCTGCACAAGTCTTCAGGCACACAGCAGCCTTGGTTGCTTGTGTGTGGGGTCTGTCCCAGTAGCCGAATATGTCAGATGACACACCTTGTCCCTCCATGCAGTGTTTCCTGGACACTTGGGCTCCCTTTTGGGCCCAGAACTGGTCCTCACCAAGGGAAGGCTTCTGGGTGGGGGAGCAGCCTCCCAGCTGTCTAGGGCCGGGCCTGGGTCTAGAGTTCTTGCTTCTTCTTTGCAAAGTCTACAGCCTGTCATCCCATCCCCAAGACGGGAAAAGCTGGCCCTTGGTTCCCACTCTGGGTCATTCTTGGTGTCCACTTTGCACTTCCAGGAAGCCGGATTCTCCTGCTAGTTAACCCTCTGCAGCAGACTTTCAGTCCGCGAACGCCCTCCACCAAAAAGCAGCTTTGCCGTGTGGGGCTTGCATGTCCTTTCCTGCTGGCTAAAGTGTTCTTCAGTGCTCTTGCACTGGCAGACCCTTGGGCTGCACCGTAGCCCCACCGTAAGCCCCGCAGGTCCTGCAGGGATGGGAGCAGGGGTTCCCCCTTCACAGATGACATGGCATGGGGATTCTTCCTGGTCTCTGTGGGTCGGCTTCCTGCTCAGCCACTGGCCAGGAGGCCTGGCGCTCGCCACCAACTGTCGCAGTTGCTCAGCCTGGCTCTGACCTGGAACCCAGTGCAGGGGATGGACTTGGTGACTTGGAGTTGAGGGGAGGACAGTGGGGCCTTTTCCTAGGTCAGATTGCTTTTCTCTGTCCTCTGCCAGAGCCTCAATTGGCCTCTGGTCATGCAGCCTGTTCTGGGGGCGTCAGGGGAAAGTCACTTGTGGCTGCGAATTGTCCGGGGTTGAGCATGTGGACGCCTCCAGCTGAGGCATCCAACCTTGAGACAACCATTGAGCATTGGTGTGACAGGCCTTCTCCCATTGTCCCGCCCTCTGGCCTTTTGGTTAGGAGCCACGGTGTGGCCTTTGGCCTTAGCAGGCAGTGTCCTTGGGCACTGCAGCCCAGTGTGCCTGTGGGTCCATGCCTCGAGTACACCTTTGCTCCATTCCCCAAGACCACCCAGAGCTGCCGGAAGGGCCACCCTTCTTCCTGGCAGTGTGCTGGACACTGGCCATTTTTGCTCGAGGTTGCCAGTCAGGGAACGATTTTTGTCCCTTCCTCCCCTAGCTGCATCAGCACCCCCATTTTTCAGCCCCATTGGATGCTGCTCTTTGGGGCTTCCAGCCCAGTGGCCAGGCCCTTGGTCCCTCTGCAGAGCCTCACTCTGGGGCCAGGGCAGGGACCAGCGCCACGGCCAGGCCTCTTCCTCACAGCGTCGGCTCCCCACTCTGTGTTGATGGTGACTTCAGAGAATGTCACGGTTTTTCAATATTTGACAGGCAGCGTTTAAAATAACATCAAGGCAAACGTATGTGTCATCCTCTGTGCTGACATCTCTTCCCCTGAAATGCTTTTCATCTGACAGCCAATCTCCTAGACAGGTGCACCTGGGCTTTCAGTGACATTGTCTCTTCTCTGGGGAGGGACTGGGGGAAGGTCAGGATGCCTGGGGCTCCCTCCCCAGGGAGGTGGCCTCTCTCTGGAGAAAGCTGCCACTGCCCACAAGGGGAAAGCCACTCTCTTCCCAGCGCAGATTCAGCGTTTAAGGGATCCAAGGAAGCGTGGGGGGCTCCCTGGTGGTGGTGAGTGATGAAGGCATGTAAGGGGGCTTCCACCCCACCAGCAGGTGGTCCAAAGGGAGGCTAGAGAGGGAGGCTAGAGAGGGAGGCGAGGAGGGGCCCTGGGCCTCCAGCCCCACAGTATTGACAGTATGTCCCCCGGATGCCCCTCTGCTAGGTCACTCCCAGGGATAGCAAGTTAATCAGCATAAGGGCACTGTGATGGGAAGCCTTGTCCCCCCACTTTTTTTTTTAATATCTGCGGAATAAACCCAATGGTTAATTTTTGAATGAATAAAAGGCTTTTGTTGAATAAACAGCTGGTCACATCTTCTGTTTTGGCATCTTGGCATGTAGGCTCAAGCTCTGTCTCCTCCCCAGGACTGGCATAAGCCCAGAATCCTCTTCCCTCCAGCCTGCACAGGGCGCTGTCTCCCCCATGTCTTTGCAGTGGCCTGTGGTCCCAGGGAGGGCCACCTCACTTGCAGTCTGACTCAGTGACCGGCTTCCTCTGGGACTTCGGGCAAGTCACTTCCGCTCACTGGGTCTGAGTTCGTCCATCCCTCAGGTGGGAGCAAGAGTCTCTGCTCAGCCCCTCGCAGGGCCGTGGTGAGGACTGAATGTGAGTGTCATTGTCAAGCACGTGCAGAGGTGAAAGGCCAGCGCCCCCGTGCCCACCGTGAGCCTGCCACTTTGGAAAGGAGTTTGGGTAACTTGCAAAAAGAAAGAGCACTGTTTCCTGGCTGTGGTTGTGTTTCCTTTCCCGCTTGCCTGCCCAGCCCCCCGTGAGTCCTGCTGGGGTGCTGTCCTGTCTGAACCTGCTGGTGTGTGTCTGGGCCGGGGTCGGCGTGGCCGGGGTGGGCAGGGCCCGTGTCGCATGCCCAGGCCTCCATGCTCCTGCTGTATGTCGTCCCTGTCACGTAATTAAACACGCTTCCTGGACTTGTCCGCGCTGCCTTGTGTGAGCCTGTTGCTTTGTCTGTTTCTGTTCTTTCCCGTTCTGTTTTAGGGTCCTTCTCCGTCCTGTGACACCCTTTCTCTTGCTTGGGGTGTTGTCTGCCCAGTTTTCCCAAGGGAAAGAGTGTGCGAAGTGAGAATCTCACGTGTGATGATTAAGCCAGAAAATCTCAAGGCGTGTTTCTGGGAGGCCCAGACTTCAGCAGGGTGGGCCCCTCGCATATGTCACCCACATAATCTCCATTCCTGCCTATTTCATCTATGGGGGTTCTCAAAAGGGCTTCTGCTGCTTTTTTGGGGGGCAGGGGACGGGGTCTGGCTGGTATGGGAAGCCAAACCCTTGATCTTGGTTTTATTAGCACCGTGTTCTCCCAAGTGAGCTAACGGCCAGTCTACTGCTTTAAAAATGTTTGAAAATAGTTGGTCTAGACCCAGGTTCTCAAAGTTGAGGGTGTGTCAGAATCACCTGAGGCTTGTTAAAACCCAGATGGCTGGCCCTCTCCCCAGAGTTTCTGCTTAGGTAGGTCTGGGCTGAGACCTGAGAACCTACATTTCTTTTTTTTTTTTTTCCCCCTTTTTGTCTCTTTTTTTGTGACCGGCAACGGGATCGCAACCCTCGGTGTTGCCCCCGCACCTCGCTCAGCCAGTGAGCGGCCGGTCTGTATGTGGGATCCGAACCCTCGGCGGGAGCGCCACTGCGCTTCCCAAGCGGCGAACTGTAGCAGTGCACCACCGGGCCGGCCAGAACCTACATTTCTAACAAGAGCCCAGGCTGGGCTGATGCTGCTGGTCTGGGGCCCACACTCTGAGAACCCCTGGTGACACGTTCACACTGCAGGATGTCTGCTTGGGTCCTAGACAGGTGTCCTGCCTCCGCTGGCCCGGGGCTCAGGCTCTTCATTCATTCACCTCGATGTGACTCTTGCACCTGTGATGGGCCAGGCGCCGAGGGCCCAGAGACTGATCGCCGGCCACATGGAGGGCTGCTTTGGGAAGGGCGGTGGGCAGATGAGTAACCCCGTGGGAGCTCTCAGAAAGGCACCCAAGACACGGCAGTCGGTGCGGCTGCCCTGCACAACGGTCCCCCTCTGTCTGGACCCTGGGATCTTGCAGGGTCCCCCTCTCCAAGTCAAGTAACCACATGTTTGCTCAATATGCATAGGCCCTGCCCTGCTGGAGAGAGGGGGGACTCGGAGGAGGCGATGGTCTTCGCTTTCCGGAGCTCGTTGAGGCAACATTAATTCAGAGAATAAAAGGAAATGTCGAATCAAGAGCGAAACTGCTGGTTAGAAATAGATTGCTCTTGGCCAAAGATGTGTGAAGCGTGTAGGTTGATAAGATCAAGCAGCCAGCAATAGAATGAGCCACTGTCTGCAAAAACTGGCTGCGTTTCAGAGTTGGTTTCGTGAAAAGAATCATCAGACCAACATCACCTTGGAGACAAAGCTGGAGGGCCCAGCGTAATTCCACTTTCGGGTTGAAGCAGCCGCTGAGAAAGGGAGGCAGCGATGTCGCCCTCCGTGGCCACACTGGGCACCCTGCACC